CTGCCGTGCAACAACTAGATTAATAAAAAAATACAAGTCAGCAAATGCATTGTAATTTTTTATCGGTTAATAATTTTTAACAATAAGAAATGTTAGTACTTTTGCATGCATAAATATTAATATTTGATACATTCATTATGTACTTGATTAACTTTTTTCATATCAATCAGTTATCTATCCTATATCATTTAGCAAAGATCAATTTAGTACAATTACTGTTAATAATACAACTATGATTATTAAAATTAATTTTATGTGCTATGCATTCACACCGTCGATATTCTTTTGGAACTATAAGTTTCTTTGGCAATACATTTCCTTTGGTAATAAATTCTAATAGAATTGATAAATCTCAAATGCAATGAAATGATTCTTATCTGATGTTTAATGCACGAGTTCCACTTCTCCAAAGATATAATTTTTGCTCGGAATATTTTGAAAATAAGACTTTGAAAAAATTCACGATTCAATTCTCTTGTTATATTTTTCTTATATCTCTTATATTTCTGTTCAGATGTGTCGGGATATATCGGTTGCATGATCTTCCTTTATTCTCGATTCGTCATAATTTCTTTGTCAACTTAAGATAAACTTAAGTCTTCCTTTCTGACTAGATCGCGTGCGTGTTAATTTGGCGCGACCAAGAAGATTGCTAGATCATTTGCAATTCCATAATCGCTTGCTCTCTCTTTTACTTCGATGTAGATATATCACATAAATATATACGTATGTACAGAGACAATCCATTTTCATTTCAATTAGTAAATTGTATTAGTAGTTCTAGGCCTTCCCTGTTTGAAGTGTTCTCTTCATTAGCACGAGAAGCCGCCATCTGAAAGAAACCAAAAGAAATACCGCAGGTATTTCTTTGCTATTTTTGACCCATCATTTAGAACGAACACACGAAGTAATTATTAAATCCTATATATGTATCATCAATTGATATCAATGTCTATTTTTCATTCTACCCTCTTCGCTATTATTTTTATTAATTATAAAATAATCTTTTTTTTTTTTTTGTATTAAGTCAAATAATTTATTTATTTGTTCAACTCTTAAGAGATTAAACATAGATACATATTATAAATTTGTTTGAGCGAATGATTATTAGACGAAACTAATTGCAGTTTTCTATTTAAAGAAAAAAAGAACTAATTGAATAATCTATTTCCTATTTATCAGATAATCGGAAAAACGAATCAAGTTTGTACCATTTCCCGTGTTTCTGACTTAGATTAGCTTTACGATCTAGCTATATGTAATATACAAATATAAATTGGTACAAAATCACTCGTACAACTTATATTCTCGTCTCGATCACGACGTGACACATGCTTGTGCGCCGCATTGAACTTCCCAGTCTGGAAAGAGAAACGGTTCGTACATATAGTTATGTACATACATACATACATACATGCATACATACATACGAGATTTCATTGTCGAGCGATAGAAGTTCTTTGGTCGGTTCAAAATACCCAGATATCCCTTTTCGAAAACTTTGTTTAATTCGACGATATCGCTTTTTACTCACCAGGCATAACGGTGGTCGAATATTTCAGCTATTATTGCAAGAAGAGATTTCCTTGCAAAACGTTCGTTCAACTCCACTCTCGTATCGCCATCTTCAAATCACATTCGACTGTGCCGATGAAATTCACAAAAGTTGAATAGAGGGCCGAAACAATTCTAATGAAATATTGTACCATCTCTTTCCGATAGATGGTGCACATAACTTGAGTAACTATATCCATACATGGCATATATGCGCTTGTGTATTCTCATATGTATTTAAATATATATCTACAATATACAATATCTATGTTTCTATATATATATATATATATATATATATATATATATA